TGCTGGCCACATGATCACAGAGTAGTCTCTGACAATGCTGTCTCTTCATGGAGATGAGATGAGCACCACCCCCTATGGTCGGACACGACTTGACAACCTTGTCAATGGGGATACCTTTACCTTTATCTTTACAGTAGTTGTCACATATCGCTAGGTCCAGAAAGGTCCTCTTCATGAGAGGGCACACCACAATCTCCTTTAAGCACCTCCTCCTGATTCAGTGAGGCATTTATCACCCCTTGGACCCACCATATCAATGGGCAATGAACGAGCTTGCATATGGTAGGCCAAACTGAATCAAGTCTTATCCACATCATCAAGCTCATCAACTGCAACTGATCCCAAGAAAACTGATGACAATCATTATACAGAAACCTTTCAGATGATGGCAACTCCAGCCCCTTTCTAACCTCCCAATCTGGGTTGGTGCTGCACTGAGTATGCAGGTAGACAAAGCTGGGACAAATCCACTCCACCAAACTCATCCACCCAAGCCTTAGTAAAACATACCAGGTCAGCTCCTGCATCCATAACCCATTTATAGATGTACATTTACGGGTAGCCATGCTGGCCATGATAAATGGTGTGGCATAGAGGTTTGAGTTTTGGACTACAACTCTGAAGACCAGGGTTCAATTCCCAGCTCAGCCACAGAACCCAAGGATGACCTTGGGTGAATCTCATGCTCTCAGCCTCAAGGGAAAGCAATGACAAACCTCCTCTTAATGAATCTTGCAAAGAAAACCCCATGATAGGGTCACCAGAAGTCAGAAATGACTTGAAGGCACAAAACAACAACAACAATGCTGGCCATACAGCAGAATAAAATAAAATTCAAAATCCAAGAGTGATACCTTTATTGTCCAGCCAAAATTTCACTCTTGTGTGGATTTTGGATTCAGATCATGGATGTTAGTTTTTTTTATTGTGTACTGACCTGGTATTCAGCAGCACTGTTCCCTAACTAGTTCAGAAAGGGTTGGTCTTAGACATACAAGTGTTGTAGCTTTTATTGACAAGAAACAATTTAAAAATGGTATAAACTGTATCTAGCAGCAGCAAGGCCAGAAGAAACAACATATGAACATATGAAGCTTACTTATATTGAGTAGGGCCAGTGGGCCATCTATTTTAACATGACTGGCAGTAGGTCTTCAGGATCCTAAGTATCTCTCTTTTTAACTAAAGGTACATTTGGTATGTAAAGTATGGGCTCTGTCACAAAGCTAAAGCCCCTCCCATGTGAAAAAATTAAATCAACAATTTCTTGTAGGTGGTGTGTGCATGTTCATATGGAAAGAGAAAAAGGTTTACAAGTCTCTGACAATTTCAGGCTTGCTGAAGATTAAAATATGACACTTTGTGCAATATTAATCACATTTGAACTGTATGGTGTACCTAGAATTATAACTTCTTACAATTATGCATGATATCACCATCATTCTTATTAACACAACTGTAATTTTAACATTTTTATTGTTGTTATAAATTTAGGTGCCACCAAAAAAGACTGCGGTTGTAGATCTAAAATTGAACAGTACAAAAATTCTTCAAACAGACTTAGAAGCTTATCTCATTACTGTTTAAAGTAGAAAAAGCCTCCTGGGATGCAGCTAGAATGTTGGATGTGGGTGGGAATTATTGCACAGTAAGTTGCCACTAAATCACCAGGTGACTGCAGCCTGGGTCCCAGCCAGGTTCAGGGCCTCTACAGACAGTGCTTTGCACTGTCTTGGAGGCAAGGAAGGGGAGGGACAGCCACCTCAACCCCTTCCCAAGGACGTCATCAGAGCATGCGCCGTTGCACACAGCAAGCACTCTGATGACATCCTCCAGGTGCAGCGTCCGGACACGCTCCACTGGAAGAGATGCAGAAGAGCTGCACATTGGCTCTTCCAGTGCCCTTTCCATGGCTTGAGAAAGGAGTGCTATTTTGGCACTCCTTTCCCGGTCGCCAAAAGGGTGGATTGGGTCCGAGGCATGGGGCAGCCTCAGCCCCAATCCTCCCCTTCCCAGGGTGGCCTGTGGCCACCTGTCTGCATCCCCCCTCGGCTGGGCCTTTTTAGAAAACAGAAGCTTTCCATTTTCTAAAAAGGGCCATCTGAGCACGGCTGTGTCCTGGGTGGCAGTCACCTGGTGATTTGGCGGCAACTTACTGTGCAATAATTCCTGCCCCCATCTGGCATCCTGGCTGCATCCCAGGAGACTTTTTTCACTTTAAATAGTAATGTGATAAGCTCCATAGGTAAAAGAATATAAGATTACCATGATGATATTTGTGGGAAGTATAACCTCCAGTGAAAGGGTTAAACCATTGCATTTGGTAATGGAATTATGCAGATAAAAGAAAGTTCAAAGTAATGAAATCATGCCACAGCTCCAGGAGAAAAAAATGTTTGGTACTTTCTGGGAATGGTAAATTACCTGGGGAAATTAATGCCCACCTTATCCACTAAAGCAGCTTCTTGAAGGAAACTTTTTGAACATACAAATAAAAGATGCTAGGAAATGCAACAGGAGTAATCATGGATTCCCTGAATTACTGTCAAACAACAATCTACTTAAAAGCCAGTCTTAAAGTGGTACGCACCAGACAAACCCATTAAAATTTCAACTAATTCATAATTCTCAAGGATAAGAGGAGTATTTCTACAGACACAAGTTATCTGCTGGCAATGAATAGTGTTCTATATCCATCTGACTTAAGTTATTTAGGTTGTGGATATAGAAATAGGATCTGCAAGATATAATTATGAAAGAAAAGATGCAGTTTTATTTACTTGTGAATGCTTTAATCAATATATTTATGCACAGACAATTCAAATGAAAACATATCTATGGTGGCCACATGGCTTGCTTATGGGAACACAGATCTCTGTATAGGACAGATTGTCAGACTTCCTTCAGTTTCAGGGACAGCATTTGGTCCCAGGAGCTGGATTGCTTCTCTTGAAGCCAATCTGTCAGTTGAGATGACATTGGAGGCAAAGATGACCAATACCTCATTTCAACCTTCCCAATATATCCAATATATCCATATTCATGTTCAATATCCAACTGGATGGCTGGAGTATAATGAATGGAGTCAACATGTTATCACTGCTCATTGATTGTAGGTGACAGCGGGATCACAGACATACCCTCTCGCCATCCCAATTGGAAGGCCAGCAAAGGAAGGTAGGATGCCATCTGCAGTTACTGATTGGAGATAACAGTAATTCTTCTCTGTCCTACTTGCCTTTCCAACTGGGAAGAAGGGAGAAGGTGAGGTTTTGGAAAGAGGCCTCATCCAGAAGCTGTGGGCTGGATTAGGTCCACAGAAGTTACCATCCTCAGCTTCTTTTGAAGATATCTTCTGTTTGGAGGGATGTAAAGTATAAGGCTGCTTTAAAGAAAATGAATGATATGAAGGAAGAGCAGGGCTCTTGAAGTTGCCCATCAACAGTTACCCACTTGAAAGCAGACCTACAAGTCACCAGTCACAGTTTTCCCTACTATGATGAGAAGCACTGCATTTTTGTTTAAACAATTGCAATTACTTATAATATTACATTCATACTTCTAAACACATATGCTTTTTAATGGAAATACTATTCTTTTTTGGGGGGGCATGTGTGTGTATGTGTGTTTGTAGTACATTTCTTCTTTTTGACAATGTATAAGTGGCCATACTAAAGAGATGGCAAGGGGGGGGATTAGATTTTATTGTTGTAAGTATATTTTATTCTTGTTAGCTGCCTTGATTGATCTCAAAGGGACAGGATATAAATACATTTTTTATTATTATCTTATAGCATTGTTTATCAAATCACTAAATGGACCTTAAAGATTCAAAGAGAATCAAATGGAAAACAGTATTATTTGATGCTAAGTTCACATCCAATAAATGGATGTTTATTGCTGATGACCTTGGCAGTGCTATAAACCTTCATTTGAGATGGGAGGAAAGGCCCCAGAGCATTTCATGCAAAGCGCTGTATAGATTGACTAGTCAAATAATTTTTGTTGTTGTTGTATGCCTTTAGGTCATTTCTGACTTATGGCAATCTTAAGATGAACCTATTATAACGTTTTCTGGGGCTGAGAATGTGTGACTTGCTCAAGATCTCCCAGTGGGTTTCCATGGCCAAGCAGGAAATTGAACCTTGATCTCCAGTCATAGGCCAACACTCAAACAACTACATCATGCTGGCACTTGTCAAATCATACCCTAAAACATATAAAAGACTGAAGAGGTTAGAGTGGGAACAAAAGAATATGGCTCACTGAGAATTCAGAAAGAAATGGCCATTGTCAGAAGACAAAGTTGCAATATCAGAGACTACATTTGGCTGGCTGGGGAAGATGTACATGTACCCAAAATGTATATGTATGCTTTCCCCAACAGGGCAAATAAAAAACTTCATAGCTTTGGGCAGAATTTCTGTTAGAAAAACAATATGGGGAGAACAAAACAACATTCCTCCACCAACATCACAGGCATGATCTGAATTACTCACTTACACATATACATACCACCACCACCATTTGCCCATATTTAAAAAGATATGAGATTCAACCACAATCGCAGTAACATTAAGACCAGACATGGAAAAATTACTTTTGGGGACAAGATTTTTCAGATTCTCCCAGTAAGGATGGCCATTGACAATGATGGCTGGGGGATTCTGAGAGTTCCAGCACTTTGGTTAGGACCCCAAAGGCATTCCACGATGAAATGCCACAACAAGGGTCATGAGAAATAAGTTACAAGGGCCAGTTAGGAGAAAGATAAATAACAAAAAGTAAAGCACGGTTCATAGCTCAACATGAACACTGATGATACAGTAGGTAGCAGTTACACATCTCAGAAATTCCAATCGAGATGGCAAGCAGAACCCTACCTAAACCATTACCATGTATCAGAAAGATGATATGCAAAATGTGGCACTGACTTATTCACTTGGAACTTTATGGCATATTTAAGAGTTATAGATTATTGTCCTCCACATGTGATGGAGTGCAGCCAGATTAAAGTCACTAATCTAAAGGTGTGGCATTCCAATTTCCAAATGAGTTCTTCAGAGATAATGGGGCTCAATTTGCAACTGCTTAAATTAAATACAGTTGCCCCTCCCAGTTTGTGGGGGATCCATTCTGGACCACCCCCCCCCCTGTGAAAATGGGGGTTTGCAAATATTTGAACCCCATTGAAACTAATGGCGCTCGCACGTGGCCATTTTAAGTATAGCCACTTGTTCCTTCCCATGAAGAGTGAGACCGCGGACTCAAAGTCTGTGAATGGGGAGGAACAACTGTAATTGGGTTTGGAGCATAACATCTATATCAGGGGTAGGCAACCTTTCCCCTTTAAGGGCCGAGGGACTTCAGCTCCCAGAATCCCAGGTGCTATTGGCCAATATGGGACTATTGGCCAACATGGCTGAGGCTTCTGGGAGCTGAAGTCCCTCAGCCCTTAAAGGGGAAAGGTTGCCTACTCCTGATCTATATCATATGTATTAGCTACAATCAAATGGAAAGTTGGAAAGACCCATACAGACCTTCCTCTGCCTCCTGAAAAAAAAAAAAAGAAAAGAAAAGAAGCAGGTAAAGAAAATATCTGAAAGTGGGTTAGATTTGCTTAAAACTCTGCTGGTTTATTGAAGTACGTT